CAGTCCAATCTCACTGAAAAAAATAGAGCCAAAAAATTCGGGAGACAAAGACCTCGCCATTCGGTCAGTCAACCGGCGACAAGTAACTGTTTACAATTTTAATACGCACAACAATAAACAAATAACTTGATTGCAAGAAGAAACTTTCTTTAGTTAATAAACAACCGGCAAAAAAAATGAACGGGGTACTCACTAAAAAGTAAATTATACTAAGAGATGTGATCTAGAAGAGATGTTCAAAGCATACTAAGTTAGTGGATGGAGCACTTCATCAACGTGATGACCATATTTGGTATGAGATTTAATTAAAATAACACAGCCAGATTCTTGAATGTAACGGAAGCACCTATTGACATTCCATATTACTAAACTTAAATACACTTGCTTAACTTATTGATAAAACATATTTTGTTTTGCTAGTAAATTTACATTTTTTCATGTCTCTAGTAAAGTCTTCGAGCTCGTCATGCGGTTTGTGATGTTGTTGATGTTTTCTTCCAACATTCTTACACGTAGTCACTTTTTTTGATGTCAGAAATGCACTATGAGGGGTTGACATTCCCTGCCGAGGGGCGACCGCAATAAGAAAAATTAGGTTAATTTTTTTGTTTAACTTTTTGTCAAACTGGAAAATCATACACTAGATCAACGGGAGCAAATTACATTGTTGCAGTGACCTTCGCATTCAGTTTCACTGTAACATGTCGATGAGAGTATCTAAGTCTTTTGACTCATTAGTCTAAGTTCGAAGTTATGTCAGCTTTACTCATACGCTTTGCCAGGACATTGGATTGAACATTTCGTTCTGCGATAATAGTATTTACAAGGTGCATGAACTTTGAATCTAGCGCCCTCTAGTGGCGTAATCTATATGTCGACTAGTGCGTTAGAATCTGCTATTCTTTATCGATTTCCAGTAATAAATTAATCAATTTGATGAGATTTCATCTATTGAAAAGAAGTTATTGCGTTTTAGGTGTCAGTATGTTTTTGTCATCGGTGCGACTTTTTTTCAACAATTCATTCATTTACTGGATCTGCTTTAATATAAGCTTAACAGTAGGTGTACAAATCTTAAAAACTAAATTACAAACATGGTAACTCGAGCTATGTAACTTTGAGCCCGCTGCAGGCTGGAATTTCTTGATGTATAGCATAGAGCATTAGCTAGCGGATTTTCTTTCAATTTCAGGCTTAACCAGTAAAAACCAATGCCTTTATGAATATTTTAGTTATGGACCATGGTGCGCCCGTTAGTGCTGTAAAAGTTTTTGACTGATACCTCTGTATTTTATCAATATTAGTTGCACAGGCCCTACCCCACACTTGAATACCATACATCTAAATTGGTTTTAATACTGCGTTGTAAATAAGGACTAAGAAATGAAAATGAGCTTCGAACAAAGAGCCAACATTAAATTTTGTTTTAAAATTCGTAACACTTTTACCGAAACGTTTCAATTGATGAAACAAGTTTATGGCGATGATTGCCTATCCCGTAGCAGAGTGCACGAGTGGTTTCAACGTTTTCAAAGTGGTCGTGAAGACAAAAATTAAGATGAACTTGGGGGCCAACCAAAATCCGTGATCACCGAAAATTTCATCGAGGCTGTGGGCCGATTATTTGACCAAAAATCACCACCCCCCGTATTCACCTGATATGGCACCGTGTGACTTCTACTTTTTCGAAAAAATGCATTTGCTGAAAGGAAAGCGTTATGCAGACGTGGAAGCCATTTAAAAAGCTTGGACCGGCGTACTGGCGGCCATATCGGGCAACGAGGTAAAACACTCGTTCGACTTGCTTTTGCACCGTAAAAAAGCTGTATTAAAGCAGAAGGAGACTATTTTGAATTAAATTAATTGTTTTTGCTGATAAAACCATTTGTTCTGTCTTTTTTTTTAAAGTCCTGTTTACTTTGGAACGCACCTTGTATATTGGATTTTATTTATTCGTCAATAGCTTCTGCATCCAGCTGTTATAACTCATGCCGTACCATGATCAAATACAATACCTTGTGGTGCATCCACCATATTTTCCTTACCGACTCCTTTTCCAGAGACCAAAATTTGAGTTGGATCTGACTTAGGATATCCATAATATGTACATTTGGTTTACTTATTTACAAAGCAACTAAAACTTAAAACTATGTGTGCATACTATGAATAAAAAGCGTTAAAAATAGAGCCAAAACGATATCTCGGGAAAGTGAAATCAAGGTCAGAGCCTCTAGTGATTCAATTAAAAATAGAGCTCCACAATATGATCATAATTGGCTTAAATTACGTTTATATAGAACGTGTAATGAGAGCGTAAGGTTCAATGAAGTAGATTAAAGCTGATTTGCTCAAGCAGCTCTGGGCAGAGCTCTAAGTTATCGATAATGTATTGCATTGTATAGTATTGACTGGATAGATCAAGAAATTTGAGATTTATAAGAATTCATCGGGAAGGCAGGGGACCAAAAAAATACAGCGGAGCAAGAGCAAAACGAATAAACTTTATAATTTGTTTTTGCGACCATGCTATATATTAATTCTTATTAACTAAACTACGAGGCCTTTTTGTTTGTACGAATTGAATATTTGTTATACAACAAAGAAAAAATGGTAGAAGTGACAGCTGTTTCGGATATCACCATATCTCCTCATCAGACTTCTCATGGCAGGGATCGAACCAACGGATCCTGACTTAACAGGCTAGTGTTCTACCACTGCGCCAACATCAGCCATATAATCTGTTGTTGTATTATTCAATTCATTTTTAACCAACAGCTATTAAGTGCGCTAATTTAGCCGCTATTTTCTTAACAGCTTGGTTAGTGTGTTGTGTTGGAATCCTCTATACTTTCAGGCGTAAACTGACTGAAAAATGTATAGGAAGGATTAAGGTATCAGGTTCAACTTGTATGTTTATAATTAGTTTTTGCGGCCATGCTTTATATTTATTGTATGAATTGAATATTTGTTATACAACAAAGAAAAAATGGTAGAAGGGACAGCTGTGACTTTCGTTTGACGGTTTCAGGTCTAGAATAATGTGTAGAATAAATTGGATTACAAATCAAGCTAGCTAGCATACTTCAGCTTTAAACCAACCAAAAAATTAAATACAATTTTACTTGCGTATAGATCTTTGAAATCACCATTATAATAATACAGTTGATGTGATTAATGAAAGTAAATCCTGCATCAAAAAACCCACTAAGATCCAAAAATTCATTAATAAAAGAAATCCTGTTATCAAATAGATAATAAGTCGTCCTGAGCGCTATGAAATAGTCATGTTAAAACATTTTTTAATGTCAAGGACTAATTGAGCCTTTAACAGCAAAAAACTACTTATCCTTTACAATTTTCTCTAGAAGCTTCGAGCAAGTCGGTAATTTAGAAATAGGCCTATAACTTTTAACACAATTTTTGTTACCAAGTTTAAATAGCGAGAAATGGAAGCATTTTTCCAACGATTAATTAAAACTTCAGACGACAGCGAAAGATTGAAAATGTTTTTAAGGGAGCGGCAATGGCCAAACTGCACTTTTTAAGCGGGTGAGAAGAAGAAAGAAGATGTCAACGTTCCCACCATAATTTGATTTCAAAAATTCAGCAAATAAATTTAGAGTATCGAAACGGCTTTAAGAACTTCATACTCAGTAGGACACTCAGGAAGGAATATTGGAATAACCTTTCCTAGAGCGAATTTATTTCCAAAAGGTTTTTAGATTCGTTTTTAGCTCTTTGTGAAATCGGTAAATATATTGCACATAAAGAAACATAATGAGCTCGTTAAAAGTATTCATATAATGAATATATTTCCCTTTTGTGTAGGAGACCATTATTATATATTTAATTCGCGCTTTGTAACCGCTGAAGCGATTTTTGGCAAAGCTCTTCCAATTTGTGGTATTGCGTCTTGATGGGACCCACAGTTTATACTAAGCCGCTTGCGAACGGCTGATGGCTTTTATATGACGATCTTTATTTCACGTCAGAAATACACTTGGAGGGGTGGACGTTAGCTGCAGAGGGGCGAACGTCATTAGAAAATGTAACTTAATTTTTTATTTAAATTAATTTTCTACAACTTTTTTGGATAATAGTGCGACTCCAGGACTTGAACCCGAGCCTTTCGAATGACATCCAAAAGCGTAATATTTTGTCGAGCTGTTTCTGTCCTACTAATCACTATAAGCAGGAGATTGTTTAGTGTCGAGAACTAAACAAGTTAAAAGTAGCTTAGTTCAAATATAAAAAATGACTGAACATGACAATCTGAACATAAGATTTGATTTCAAAAATAATTAAGGGACTAGAAATAGCATGAGGGGGAAATTAATGAAATGAATTGATAACGAAGAAATTTAAATTAAGAGTTCTAACGTAAATTCTTTTTGAATAGATTGTATTCTGTTGAAGGAGATTGGATAACTCGGGCTCCATATTGCCGAGCCGTATTCTGCAATAGGTCTTACTAATATTGAAGCTTTGTTGGCTGCATCACTAGTAAGAAATAAGAAGTTAATATTAACATACATGTATAAAATAAACGTTAATTGTTACCACCACAATAACCAACATGGCTTGAAACTAAGTGACGAAAAGTCAGTTTTCCAAGCAACATTGAAGGCGCCAATAGTAGACCTTGAGTTCTTGTCGGTGTATTGACGGGGCATCTACCACTAATATCATTTCCAAAAACCAGGTAAGAAGAATCGGGAGACGCCAATTTTCACGGTGCTCCGAGCTACACCCTTATGGAGGTGGGTGTACTTGCCTGGAAGAACCTAAAACAATTTATTAAAACGTGCGAACTTTTCGCAACAGCTTAATTGGGATAGGCAGGGAACAATAATCCCACACAATGACTAGGCGCTGATCTCCGCAATCAGGCCCTTAACCTCCACCTTCAACCAAACATCAACTAAACCATGAAAAAATCTGAAGATTTCTTGCATTTTAAAATTTTCTTAATGCTAACAAATTCGTTTAATATATTTTAGATACCTTCACGCAATTGGCAAATCTGTGTGGAAGAAATGGAAAAGGCGCTATTTTGTTTTAGTACAAGTATCCCAGTATACTTTTGCGATGTGCAGTTATAAAGAAAGAAAATCTGAACCTTCGGAAATGATGCAGTTGGATGGATATACAGTTGATTATATAGAAGTGGCAAGCGGTAAAAACTCTTCACAATGATATTCGAACGCTTAATTTTTGTATTTTTACATCGCAGCTAACTTAATGTTTGGCATCGATTTGAACGGAGGACGGTACTTCTTCAATGCCGTACGGGAAGGTGATAGTATTGCATTTGCTTGCGAGGATGAGAATGAATGTAGCCTATGGGTAATGGCTATGTACAGAGCCACTGGACAATCGCACAAACCAGCACCACCAGTAACCCAGGACAAAAACTCAGCAATATCAAAAATACAAGGCGGTAATAAGTTGCAATAAAATTTTGTTTATTTCGTTTGATTTTTTTTTGATAACTGCAATGTCTAAATTTATACGTTACTCAGTATTTTTGTTACGATTCTAAATTCAGCTGAAACCTTTCAGCGCCATCGACTGATTAGCCAGAACTGCGTAAATGTAAAAAGATGTTACGATAACCCAGAAATTTAGATAAAGCAGTACTTGGTATTAAAGTTTTGTAATCTTATCTGGCAAAGATAATAACTATAAAAGACAAAATATAATATTATAAGTTTTAATACTTTTAACTAAGCGTAAAAAGTGAAATAAAATTTAGTAGTATCTAAACTTATTGCCTGTCTGCAACTTCTATTTGCGAACCAACTTCGTGATTCTTTGGCATTATATGGCGTCAAAAGGATAAAATTCAAAGTGTATTTTGTACTAAATAACTATGACCATTAATTTTACTTTTAAGCTTTAAACATTTTTCGGTCTTTTAGATGCTGACAAGGCACGAAAGCATGGAATGGAAGACTATATAAGTGCAGATCCTTGCTCGTTTGATCATGCCGCTCTGTTTAAAGTGCTACAAAATCTCACTCTTGATTATCGCTTGAATGATACTTATGCATCATTGGTAGGTGAATAAAAAAAATTAAACAAATATACTCACTCATGTGACGCGAAGGCTTTATTTCGTTTTGTCATTTTAGTAGACTAGGGAATTAAAAATTTATATTAGTTCAGATGCACATATTTAGTATAAGGGAAACATATCATATTCCACCATTGAACAACTGAATTAAATTTAATAAAAGATAATAAACGATTTCATAAAAAAAATTATTTAAAACTCGAAATTTTAGAACATCAGATATAAATGGAAGCCATAAAATTCAAAGAGAAAACAATCTACTGCCTTTTGATTTCGCAGATAATTTTCAAAGATATAACGCTTAGAAATGGGTACATAAGGTTTTTAGCAACATTTTAGTGTATCTTTAAGGTAATTTAAATATATCTTCCTGGCACCAGAGAGGCATACATATCTATGTATATATACAGTACCTGAGCTTTCACTTACAGGCCTATTCTTTTTTCTTTCTTTTTGTTACTTTTTTTTTAAACTCGAAATTGAACTTGGTATTCTGGCGAACTGGTTACAATGTTTGGAAAAACTTTGGAAGAACTGCTTTTTTCGTCATTGTCAAATTAAATTTCACATTTCTCTTTGCTTTCAACCCATTTTAGTTTTTTTCACAAACTAACAGCACAAAATAGAACAGCTGATTGTATGTCCCTCCTTTTTCGCTGGTAACAAAATTTACAGAGTCCAGTGAACTCCGAATATGAAATAGTAAGAAAATTTACAAATGGTAAGTTTTAATACCAAAGTAATTTTTTTCACCTCTACAGAATAGGCCTGTTAATGTGATATTATACATCAGTTTTAAAGCCGTTTTCCCTTGTTGCTACATAAATATGTATGTGTACTGGCGGCCGCGGTACACGAGTGGTTAGCATTGCGTACTGCCTTTAGGAAGGGAACTACCAACACTCAAGAGTTATAGAAAGTTATTAAAATAAAAAAAATTGGTTAATTTCCTAATTGCGGTCACCCCTCGGCTGGAATGTCAACCCCTCCGAGTGTATTTCTGACATAAAATAATGATTCCTCATAAAAAAACCATCAGCCGTTCGGATACGGCTTAGTATTGACTGTAGCTCCTTCCATTTGTTGGAAAAACATCAAGAAAAATGGGGAAGAAGCTCGGCCGAACGCTACAACGATTACAAAACGCCCTATACGTATACAGTGGCTTAATACCAAAGTGATGTAGCTATCTAAGAAATAGTATAATAAGTTTTATCTAAAATTTAAATGAATTTTCAAAAAAAAAAAAAAACATGGGTGCTAGTTCGTTGTCGCAGATGAACACATTTCATTGCTGATTTAAAAATTTTATATTTTAAAATATAAACATTTTATGTAACTTACAGCAAAAACAGACTTCAGTATTAAATTGCACCTCACAGCGAAAGTGATGCAAACAGATTTACCGTTAGTCATTGAACGCTAGGTTCGTGAAAGTCGTGTGTTAAATAAAACTAAAACGGCTTATAATAAAATATTTAGCGAAAGTGATTCCCGATGGATCGTACTGAAAAATATGCGATATCCCCCACTTAAGTGCTCCAGCTTTGGATAAAGAAGTGCTAAAATATCTTGAGAAAAGCTGTAGCCCAGAAACTATACGAAGAATCCTCAGAGAAGCTGATTTCAATGGCCGCCCAGCTGGGAATAAACCATATGTCAGTGCTAATAATTAAAGTGCAAGGCTGAAGTTTGCAAAGGAGCATTCATATAAAGATGAAAGTTTATGGTACACCGTAATTTTTGCGGGCGAAAGTAAATTGAACCTGTTAAGATCAGATAGAAAGAGCTATGTATGCAGAAATTCAAATTCCGTGTTTTAACCTCAAAATTTACGTAGCACTGTAAAACATGGTGGAAGGTATGTAATAATATAGGGATGCATGTCGTCTTCTAAAGTTGGAAATATAGATTTCATCAATAGTACTATGGATAAGACTGTGCATTTGGACATCTTAAAAAGAAATTTGCTTAAAAGTACCTCAAAATTAAATATTCGTGACAAGTTTCGGTACTATCAAGATAATGATCCGACACGGAAATCAAGCGTCTCCAGATTTGAATATGAGTGAGAATCTGTGGTGAGTTTTGGAACGAGCAATTCGAACATATGCGATTCAAAACCAAGCTGATTTAAAAAAAGTCTCACAAATAGAATGGAACATCGTTGATCACCACTACACGAAGAAGTTAGTAGAATCCATGCCCAGTCATAGACAGCAAGGAATATTCTACTAAATTTTAATTAACCCAATTTTGTTTTTGGCCTTAAAAAATAGTTTTATTATTTTTTTTGTTACTGCATCATTTTAGCATTTTAGCAGTGAAGTATATAAGTATAAAATGTATATAAATAAATATATCTTAAAGCATAAACGAAATGTATGTATAATATCTGCCGCTATTAACTGGCATTCATGTTCTTTGGAAAATTTGTTAACTATTTAAATAAAATTTATTATACTACTTTTTACAAAGCTGCATCATTTTGGCGCTGAGCCACTGTATCTAATAAATAAAATTTGCGTGTCATAGTGTTAGACACAATACGAGGAAAATGGCTTGACCGATGAAATGAAATGAAATGAAATTTTAGGTGCATATTCAGTAAGTCTTAGAATAATATAACATCTATTTTTCACAACCAAAGGGGACCATTTTCTGGTCTATTTCTAATATTTGAATTTATAGTTCCGATTGATTGAATTTTTACACATAGGTAGCCTTTTGCTTTGTTCAGAAGGAACAGTACTTCTGTTTCCAGGAATAATCCCTAAAACCAATCTATTCCAAAATCCGTTTCTATGATATTTGATTGGTCCATTCCGTTGCCCAATAGATAGCATCATTCGTTGGCTTAAGCAGAATCTTCATTGGAAGGCAAGCCCGTATATAATCCTTTTCCTTGCACTTACATGTGTAATCACAATTGTCTATTCAATGAATTATGTTATGAATTATATTTCTTCCAAGTGAGAGAAAAAATAACTTTCAGAACGTCACATGTGGTTAATTTTTGGTACATATTCAATTTCGCTCAATGAGAAATCCTTATGTTGAAAGCAATTTATGGTTTTACCTAAGTCAATAAAGGATGGGCCGAAATAATATTCAATTTTATTAAGAGAATCTCGGGCCGGCTCATCCGAGATAATCTTAGTTACGCATCAATTCACTTGAAATTCAATTCGTTGGTAGTTTATCGTTTTGATTGAAATGCAGAAAATAAATAAATATATATATTTTGTCGTTTATCTTCAGGGTTGGTTTAGTCCAGGACAAGTCTTTGTGCTAGACGAATATTGTGCGCGGTATGGAGTGCGTGGTTGCTACAGACATTTGTGCTACTTGTCTGATTTATTGGATCGAGTGGAAAAACAATATATGATTGATCCGACGTTGATACATTACTCGTTTGCCTTTTGTGCCAGCCATGTGCATGGAAATAGGTATTTCATATACATATATGTATATAAACTATATAAATTTGTATGTTGTTTCCCTAAAAACGAAATTACATAAAACAAAATATGTATATTTTTCTAGACCGGATGGAGTTGGCAGTATAACACATGAAGAAAAGGAAAAATTCGCTGAAATCAAGGAACGTTTACGTATTTTACTAGAGTACCAAATAACGAATTTTAGATTTTGCTTCCCATTTGGACGACCGGAAGGTGCATTAAAAGCAACGCTTTCCTTATTGGAGCGGGTTCTCATGAAAGATATTGTAACGCCTGTGCCACCAGAAGAAGTGCGTATGATGATAAAGAAAAGCTTGGAAACAGCAGCACTTGTTAATTATACTCGCTTATCTTCAGAAGCTAAAATTGATGGTGCGTAATTATGATCTCACCTTACATGTATTTTAAATTAGTGCAAGTATACTACAAGGACAGTGGTTTTAGGTAAATCAGCTACATATTAATACCACATTTTGAAGTACACAACTACCATGTGCACTTGTGTTAATAAATATATTTCATAACTCAACGACTTCTTCGAGGGGTGCGCTGGCGATATGAAAGATTTCAGTTGTGTCGATGCACATACTTACTCAAATTTGGTCTTAGCGATGTTGATTTAAGGTCCAGTTTGTGCGGCAAAATCGCTTACAGACTATAGTTTAAAGAAAATGTATGAAATGGGCGCCACGTTATTTACAATCTATAACTATGTGATTAATTTGACTTTGATATATTTGGAGATGTCCAAGAAATTATGTGGACGCGCTTATTATTGAACTGCGTACCCTTTGTGACAAAGTTAATGTTAGAGCTAAATAAAGATCCTGTCAATCTTAGTAAACGTGCTTTACTCGTTCATCGTCACCCCTAAGCCCTTGGACATTCATACAAGGTGTGTTCAAAAAGTATCGCGAGTTTTGAATTTTCGCGGGCTACGAATGATCGAATTTCGATTTTTTTGTGGCATTATGTTGCTACTAATGTCTGTCACTTATGCCGACAAGCTCGGCCATTTTGAATGTTCACTTAATTGTTGACAGGTGCTTTGCTTGCACGTGTTTTGGATGGTCTTCGATTTTTACCTATTCAAAAAATGGATACATTCCGAATGTTGACTGTGGCATACGGAGAAGCTACCTTGGACCGAAACAACGTTTATTGGTGGTACGAAATGTTCTCAGAAGGCCGAAAAGGTATGAACGACGAAGAGCGTGCCGGACGCCCGAGCACTTCAACAACAGCCGAAATTAATTGCAGGGACGTGGTGCATCATGAGTTCTTGCCGCAAGGTAGAACGGTCAATAAGGAATATTACCTGCAAGTTATGCGCAATTCGCGCGAAACAATCCACCAGAAACGCCCGAATTTGTGGAAGAACCAAAATTGGCTTTTGCACCACGATGACGCCCCTGCTCACACATCGTTGCTTGTGCGTGACCAAAAACAACACACTGGCCCCCTGTGACTTTTTCTTGTTCCCTAAACTTAGAGGGCCATGAAAGGACGACGTTACGCTACGATTGACAAGATAAAGACGGCATCGAAGGAGGAGCCTTTACACTTGTGCCAACGGATAGATATTCATGAATAAATAAATAATTTTTGAAAAAACACAAAATTCGCGATATTAAATTATTTTTTGAACACACCTCGTATTACCAATTGATCCCATTAGATGCACAGTATTTCAATACAAGTTCAATTATGCCTCTTAAATTTGCAATCTGCAAAAAAATTAATATTTTATTTTGACCTCCAACTAGTTCATTATTAGATTTCTTATATACTAACTGGGCTTCTAACTGCAAGTTGATTTTTTACACAAGTTTTTAGGTGACGGGATGAATTACAGTGTCTGACACATACTCGTATATGTATATAGAATAATTTCCTAATTTAAAACGTGTTGACAACGGTGTTTTTATACATTTCAAGAGGATTTACGGGGTGAAATCATAGTCGCTGCAGCTAAGAAGCTAGAAGACCTGATACATTTGGCTGAGCTTTGTGTTGATTTGCTACAACAAAATGAAGAGCATTATGCCGAGGTATGTAAATACAAATATAGTAAATAGATACATTTGTGAGTAAACATACATTTGAGCTATGTGTGCGTTATACTCTAAATATTTTTTACGTATTGTGCCTACAAATACTAATGCATCTTCCAATTAGCATTCTATTTAAAGTGGAGATCTCGAGTGTATATGGCATTGTAACATTTTAGTCTAAATATATATATATATATATATATATATATATATATATATTTACAATGTTACAACTTATTCGATGGTACGAACTTACATATACCTACAAACTCATATGTGTATTAATAAATTTTGAATGTATTGTTGTATGTTTTTATGTGTATTGAGGTAAAGAGTAGTACTGCAAGCTGTTATTCTATATAATTTTAAAGTTTACGTTGTCCAACCCCAATATTTTTCAAAATTATATGCATACATATATATACAGTTTTCTTTGACTATACACAACCAAACGTTTTTTTAATATAAAAGGATGTAACAAATCGAACTTTTTCAAGTAATTTAGAGTTATGAAAATTCGTCTTGAGAGATTTCTGCGTTATAAAATGTGTGATATCTGAGTAAATAATAAATATCTGAATAATAATAAATGTACATATATAAGCCGATTTTGACTTCTCTCTCAATTATATATGTTGACTCCAAATATGAGCTGTGTTCGATCTTTGACTATAGCAGTGAGTGACGCTCGAACGAACTTCCATTTGACAAACTTTCATCATTATATTATATGTTTCAGTATGTGGAAATAAGAATTAAAAAAGAATTAAAAAAGGCATCCAGGTTTTCTCTTTGCTGTCTTGTGCTCACTTTTCTTCGTTTATATCATCAAAAGACTGGTCCAACTTATTTGTAGCAGCTTAGGAGAGAAATAAATTTTAATGCGGCCCTCTACTTTCCAATCGACTGTGGACGGTATTATCACGGAACATTAAGACCTTGCCTTTATACAGTTCAAGGCGTCTTTCACAGCTTTCTTTTTTTGATAGTTGAAGTCAGTAAATACTTGAATCAATGGTTTTATATATTTCATAGTAATGAAAGTAGTCTAAAAACCAAGTTTTTAGTTCAATTAACTTGAAAGTCTTTCATTTTAAAGTGGAGAAGATATCGATCGTATTCATTGTTCGATTTACTTGAAATTATGTACATTCGAACTTTTAGTTTCAATTAACATGTACCTCGAAAGCAGTCTTGGAAACTATGTAATCAAGAATAGTATTTATGCTATGATTGCCTTGAAAAAAGATTGTGATTTGTTTCGGTTAATTTATACGAAGGTATATATTTGTATATATGCAGCATGTAGAATATTTTTTCCCCAGAAACGGGCTTGGTTAAATTCACTTAAAATTTAGATCATAGAAATCTTTTGTATTAGACAATAATGTTGGCACCTAATTGGAATTAGTATTATGTATATATACATATATATAACTGGCGCTTTGTAACCGCTGAAGCGATTTTTCAGGCGAGCTCCTCCCTAACTCCTCCGCGTCTTGTTGTTTTTCCAACAAATGGAGGTACCTACAGTTTATACTAAGCTGCCTTTACTTCAATAAAGTAAAGATATATAATAAAAGACGCCACATTTTTTGAAAATATTCTTCTTTGTTAAATATTAGCACAATATTTATGTATACACTTCACTTTGTACTTTGTGCGGACCTTCCCTAAGGCACTACAAATTGGAACACGCTATCAGCAATCAGGGGGGTTTGACTTTTTACATTGACCCATGTTTTTCTTTCTCTTAAAACTGCTTTGTTTAGTTTTTTCTGTTCGGTAATAACTTTTAATTTTCGTATATATATATATTCATATATATTAACAATAGATCTTTTTTATGATGAGTTAGCCCATGCTAAATTAACTTGTTTCAAAAGTCGATATTCGCTGGACTTGTCAAAAGTGTAGAAATTGTTATTAAAAAAAAAAAAAACAAAACAAAAAAACACAACTTGTAAGATGAGGATTGCTGCAATAGAGAGAAAGCAGACTGCATATCTTGCAAAGTTGAGATGTACCACTACATTAATAGATATTGAGAAATGAAGAGGAATGCAAGTTGTATTTGCATATAAAAAAGAAATAATCACGATTTGAGGGCATGCACCGGAATATACAGTTCCTTAATTGAAAAGGTGGCCGCTGGCCATCTGTTTTATGCCCCAGCTGGTTGATATAACTAAAGTAAAGACTGACATCACCGCCGTCCAAGAAGTGCCATGGAAGAGACTAAGACGGATGAACATGGGTCCTACGCTTGTAGGAACACATGGATATGGTGAACCCGAAAGCCTAATCGATGTCGGAGGAAATGACTCTCCGCTGCCTACCATGACATGGTTCGATTGGCGATTGCCCACTTAAAGAACAAAAAGGCGACTGAAGGCGCTATGACATGTAGTTCCACGTGTCCTAAGAAATACAAACCTTCAACTTCACTGGTGTTTCATATAGCCTATTATAAAAATAAAAATATATAAACATATATATTACTTATATATAGCTTATTTCTTCCAAGTCCTTACATTTATTATAACTGCACTTAGCTCTTTTCCGACATCTGCTTCTACTTCAGCATAAACTATATTTAATAAAAAAAGAGCTTGGTGTGGTTCCGAATGATGCTACTGCGGAAGGAATGCGTTCAAACATATAAGACAGATTAAACCGACTCCTCCATATATAAGGAAGTATAATTTATGAGCGTGTTTTTCTCAAAACAATATAGTGCAACTACCTCGACTACTAGAAAAACCTAAAAGTTTTGAAGTCTCAAAGATGTTTACAATATTTAACCTACAATTATAAAATCTCAGTCTTCTACAAATCTTGCCTTAATCCAAATGTGTCCAACTCTTAAATCTACGTAAGCAACGTCTAAATATTTAGAGACGAAGTTTTGAAAAAAATAAGTGATGGATTACTTTTTGTTCATCAAATTGATCTTGCTGCTGAAGATATTTCTTTTGCAAAATCTGAAGTGATAGAATTCCTTTGTCAAATACTCCAAATTCACAAGAGCATTTTTATAGTCCTTAGCTACATCAAACGAATGTAGGTCCAACGTATTCTCTCCATTCGTAAATGTTAAAGTCAGCATGACAGTACTGTAATTGGGGACTTCAATCTATTTTGCGTGTCATGGAATATTAATGACAGTTTACTCATATAATAATATTCATGATTGCCTAAATGAGCTTCTTGTTCAGCTTTTTTTGTCAAATAAATAACATGCGTAATAAACTTGGAAGTCTTGGGATTTGATATTTTCTTTGTCTATAGTTTGACAGAATTCAAAATGCGCCAAACTGTTAACATCAACGACAGCTTTTCGTATCGGGTAAAAACGAAATGAAATTTATTTTGATAACAGCTTTAACGATAACAATTCCAAATATGTCAACCGCCATATAAAACCTGTCAAGCGAAACCACATCTAAAACAGTTTTCGTTGAAATCCACTTGAAAACTTACGCCCCACTCGTTCCAATTGGAAGAGAAGTCATATTGATTAATAGGTTAAAGCGGAATAATCCCATATTCTGATTTTAAGGCGATGTTGTGCAATTTAACAAACCATTTTCTGGAATATTTGTATTTCCACCACGATCACTAATGTTTTTATCTAGAAATACACATATCTACTAAGTTCAATGGTCAAGCTACAATACCCAAAAGTTCAGCTTTTGTAACGGGTTTGAAATATCATGACAAATATGAAGAGAATGAAGTAAAATATTCTTAGCCATAATTAGTAATACATAAATGATTTAAATTCAGCTTTATATTAGTATATTGTTATTATTAAAACCAGAGTAGAGCATTCGCCTGTTAAGTTAGGATCCGTTGGTTAGATCCCTGTCATAAGAAGTTTGATGAGTAGATCTGGTGGTCTCCGAAACAGATGCCACTTCTATCAGCTTTTTTTATTGTATAACAATTATTATTATTCAATTCATACAAGCAACCAGGCCTTTAGTTTACTTAATACTTATGACAAAACCAGATTTGTTTACTAAAACTTCATGTAATTTTCTTCAGTAATTTCTAATTTCTTTCCAAATTAAAATTTTTTCTTAAAAAGTCTTTGCCATTTGAATGAGCTCGCTTTTGGGACGATATATATTTTTTTGAACTGCTGAATTGGTAAATTTTTTTTCACTATTGTCCAGGACGAATCTCTTCGCATCCCAAGTCTCATTATCCAATCGAAAGCAAATCATTCTGTTTTGATCATTTAACTTTGCGATCATTCTTGCAATTGTTTTCGATGTCGGTCCGGAACAGATCCGTGAACCCAACTGGCACACATTTTTGCACTAATTATATAGTTGACCTTCCATCTATTTCCTGTCGTTTGTACGACTACTCTTCAGCTTTATAGTTTTTATGGTTGTCCCAAAAGAAACCAGAGATTAAAAAAAAATAAATAGATTTCTTTTTTTAATTTTATAATAAATTTTAAGCAATTTCGTGATTTCCATTTTGTTCGAACTTCTGGCCTATATCTGCAAAAACTGAACCAAGTGCGATTTTAAAGCCGGGTCAAAGTTTAACCATTTAATGAGTGCTGAAACAAGCATCGAAACAAATGGTAGTCTGACGGTGCAAAGTCAAGGCTATATGGTGGATGCATCAGCAGTTCCCAGCCAATCTCTTTGTTTTTGGCGAATGACCAAAGATTTGTGCAGTCTAGAATTGTCCTGGTGGGATATGCCACCTTACAATGGATTAATTCTGGCTGATTCTCGTTAACACGGTAGACATCCGAATTAATCGTTAGGTTCCTTTGAGTAAAAAATCTCCCGAGCAGAATTTGGCAAGCCAACTTTGACACTGTGTTCAAGGCAACCTACGCTGCTTTTTTTCATTTATGGAAATAATAAAGTAAAATATGACGAAAATGTTCTCTTGTGGGCTCCATATTAAAAAAGAAGCCAAACAAGAAAAATATATAAACAAATTTGGTCGTATTTTTTTCTAAAGCA